GTCTAGACTCCTACCCTACGAGTCTACAGTTCGATTCCCTTCTAAGCTGTGACCTACGACAATCTACCTACCACTGGTGTTTCGACAGGTCGCAGGTTCAAATCTACGGGTTGGCACTAATACTGTACACAGGTCAGACGGGGAACTAGGGATCGATCCCTGGGATCTGCATTCGCTACTGCGAACTGGTGAATACYGTTTCAGAAATGGCTGGCAGCCCGCGTCGATTCGTTTTTTTTTGCCGCACAGGGCGAATTTAGGCTCGGCATCAATAGCTGGTTGGGGGGGTGGGTACTGGTGGTTTAAATCACTAGACAGCTTTGTTAATTCTCTATTTTTTTATTTTAGTAATAAATAATTTCATTTATTTATTTATTTATTATTTTAGTAACTTTCTTCAAATTAGTTAATTTGGGTAATAACTTCTAAGTCAAATGCCAGATCACTCACCAATGACCCCATTGAGGGGAGTTCGAATCTCATGAGACATCGTGGCCAGGAAACTGGTCTTCGCCTCATTTGCATGCTCGGCAAACTTTTTGGCACTTTCCATTTCATCCTTCATAACCTTCATGATCCGAAAATCCCTCTCCGCGGTTCTGATCTGCATGAGGGAGATCCAAAGGCCCAGAGACACCAGGGAAGTTATGKCCAAGCTCGCCACYGCCCACTGCAGCGCCGGCCAAGGTGAGTCGTGCTTGTTCCTCCAATAACACGCCATCAGATGTCGTTGAGTGGGATCCCCAAGGACGATGTCTTCTACGATCCAGCCTTTGTCTCGAAGAGAGTCCTCGGACTTGGGGTTGACCTGGATCTTATTTGCTGTATTTGTCGCGCTTGCAACAACTGATTCTCTGTCGCTTGCAATCATGACTAATTCTCTGCCACTTGCACTTGCTAATTTACTTTCACTTTCGTCTTTCGGACAAGATAACCCAAGCAGGGACAGAGCATTCCCCTCCTTAGAGGTGTCATTTCCCTTGTCGATACTGAAAAATATCTCAATCATCAGTTCCTGGGACAGAAGGCTGGCTACATACTCGTTCAGACATGTTGCATTCGCAATTGAAAGAACATACCCCCTCACGCCCATGGCTGGCATGACTGTACCCATTGTGACATTTGCCGCTCTGGAAGCATCTGATTCATCATAAGGACCAGACTGTTTTCGCCTTCCTGAATTTGGCACTCCCTCTGCATGAAAGGCCCCTTCGGGCCCTTCAGTCGTCTGGGATTCCAGGCTTGCTTTGCTGTACAGTGATCCAGACTGCACTGGGAACACGAGCACGAATCCCGTCGGAACATGAAGTTCTGGAAACGCCATAGGAGCTGACATTGCGATTTTTCCTTCACGAGCTTTCTCAAGCAGATAGGAAAAATCTGGAAAATGAAGCGACAAAATCAACCAACCAATCAACTGATTCAAACAATACCAACCAACCATTCAAACAAAACCGACCAACCAAACTAAGCAGCCCACATACCAAACCCCACCAACCGAACCATATCAACCCCAACCGATCACCCCCAGCTGACGCACCCCAGCCAAGTGACACACCCCAGCCAACTGACCCACCCCAACCGACTAACCAACCCAAACCAACCGACCCACCACAAGCCCCGTCCCCCCCCCTCCTCCCCC